AATGCCTTCAGAGCGTTAAGCAGATCTAATTATTCATGTCTCATCGGGTATTCTACGTAGGAGGAAATTAGCGAAGGTGAGCTAAGAGAGAAAATGTATCCTCCAGGTCAGCCATTCGATGACCCGACGTGAACAGCGGTATGGCCTCGTTGCATTACCAGGGAAACTGCTGGGATGACTCATTTCTTGGGAAGGTGGAACTATTATAGAGTTAAACTAGATTTTATCAGTTTGAGATACACATAAGCATCAGTAAAGGAAGGACATAAAAACATGGCGCACCATTCAGAACCACGCAGCTTCTCGTCTTCCAGCCTCGCCTGCGTCTTTTGCCTGAAGAAAGTCCTTCTGATATCAATAACGGGGCAAAGAAAACCACTTCTCTACAACAATCCTGGGCAAAATTATTTTTATTTCCTACAGGCCACGAGAGAAAAGGTGAGTCAATGCCAAACGAAAGCCGCTGCTACTTTTTATTTTGTGCACAGAAAGAGAACGCGATTGATTTCGAAGCTCCTAGAAACGACGCTCTGGAGAGCTCACTTTTTTTCTACACGCTCACACCAAACATCTATTTTATCACACAGTGAGAGTAAAAAGAAGAAGAAAAAAATCACAACCGTTGACATTATGGCATGAGGAGGACATCGGCATGGCTTGTTTAGCAGCCATGTGAAGCAAAAGTGAAGCTTTAAAAGGAAAAGATAGGAAAGAATAAAGTGGAACATGCCTACAGTAACTCATTACTGTTTGTCAGCAAAGGTTACAAAACTCTAGGAGAGAAGGAGTATAGTTTTTGGACTGCATCTTTCTCAATAAATAAAATCTTTATTTTTGAATAGCTGATATAAAAATACAGCATAGAGATTTGACAAGAAGCAAAAACAAAGCAAATCTGAAAAAGGAGGCAAAATAACTTTTAAAAGTATTTTACACTGCCTTGTAAAAGTATACACATCCCTAGAAATGCTTTAATGTATTTTCATCAAGTTTTTCATTTATGTTATTGAGATTTCATACGTTGAACCATCACAGTTTTGCTCATAAATGAAACAGAAGCAAATCTATACATAGTTTTCAGGCTTGTCCTCTGGTTTGGCTCTGATATCTTAATCTCTCTCTTAATTTTATACCCCTAAATAAAATCCTTTTCAACCAATTGCCTTCATGACTCAGTCAGTCAGTAAGCAGAGTGTACCTGTGAGTAACTTGATCTTGGTATGAGACTTTTGTGGCATTGAAGAGCAGCTCGAAGCAGGGTTCGGTTATGAAACCACATAGTTCTTACAGCTTGTACCGTTCAGCTCATCGTGCAGAAACGGAAAGAGAACAACCTCAAACCTACCAAGACATGATCGTTCAAGTAAACTGACAAACCAGGAAAGCAGAGCAGTAATCGTTTGGGAGCCTTAGAGACCCCGGGGTCATTTAGGTTGAGCTCCGGTGAGCCACAGCTCAGGTCAGAGCGGTCTGGTGATAACTACGTTGCAGCAACTAGATTTCATCATGCATCTTAAGAGTGGCAAGAAGATAATAAGTCATGTTTGAAGTATGCCACAAGACCAGCATGTAACTTCTCTTGACTCGCATGCAAAATGCAAGGTGTGATGGAACAGCAGTATCCCATTGTTGCTGGGATACTTTTCTCCAGTTGGATGAGAAAAGATAAGAGTTCACAGGAATATGGATGGAATATTGGATATATATATATATATATATATATTTTTAAGTTTCAACTTCTTCCCTTTGCACCATTATTTGCTTCTTAAAAAAGAGTTTGGGAATTGATTTGTGTTGATCTATCACATCAAATCCCTAATACATTGATGTTTATGGTGGGAACATACCAAAATGTCAAAAAAAAGAGAGAGAAAAAGTTCAAGAATTATGAATAGTTTCATGGGGAAATAAAAAAAACGTGTATAAGTTTTTTTTTTTTGCTGTCTGCAAATTGCTGTCTGTATTTGCAGACAGCAATTTGACACGGCTGGTTAGTAAAATATGAAGAAAGCTGTCATTTTTGGTTTACATGTGCTAATAAAACACACACAATAGATGTTCCCATGGTGTGCTGCCTGGACATGTGAAACCCTGCAGGTGTGAGAGTTGAAACGTCTAAACGGAAAAGCAGACATGAAAAGAAATGGCTGAATCCTTGTTGTTGTTTTTGTGCACCGGCTTTTCCCGAGGGTGTGTGCTGTGTCTTTAGATAGACGGACGGACAAACGGAAAGGGCAAATGGACGGATGACTGGAAGATTAAACCACACTGAAGCATTGCCCTCACTTTACTGATGACACCATTGTTATCAGCTCTTTGCTGTATGAAGAAACTAACCAGCTGTGACAGATACTTGCAACTTTATTTGCTCTTTTTTTTTTTTTTTTTTTACCTTTTCCTACTTCCAGCTTCCTAACTTTGGATTTCTGTTTTTATTTCTTGTTCTATTTGTTGTTGTTTTAGCTGTGTGTCACTGCCACGCTAAAATCAGAATTTCTCTTAAAGGGACAAGAAAATCTCTGAAATCGTCAGGTTTTCCCTGGGCTGGTAAACGGGATAGATGCGCCCCTTAGTGGCCGAAAGCATGTAACACAAGCCAGGACACGGAGTAAATATATGACGTAATAAAAAGATTTAAGAAAAGAAAAAATAATCAAAAAAATTTGGCATCTACTTTGAGATTCGAGCAACAGTCTGTTTATGGAGAGGAAGCAGAGCCTGCCTTCAATTTAACAGGGATATTTGTGCCACACACAGAGTTGCACAATCTGTCATTTGAGAAGTTGCACAAGACATTTTGTTAGAATGGAATATGAAAACCGTAAATCCATCAAGATTTCTTGGCTGATTTCTCTGTCATATTGGTGAGATGTTTATAAGAAGGGAACAAGGCGGGGACAATGAGGTCGTTGTACCTTTTATAATATACCTAGTTGGATTGTAGCACCAAAGATGGTGCCGATGTGGACACAATTTTATATAAACTACAAACACTCTTACACTTAAAAGGCTCCTTCCAACCACACTGAGCTGATCTTGGTCTTTTCTTTTGAAGCAACAGCCTTGAATTTCCTGAGGAAATAACTGATACTTAACCTTTTTTTTTTGTCCTAAAACTAAACTCTGTCCATGTTTACAAAGTGGGACAAACAATGAATTAAGTTTGCTTCTTTGAGTTTGCACTGTTGGAAGTAGATACAATCAATTCCATAAACGATTACCGAGCTCTAACCAGATGTGGATCTGGACGAGCCGTGTCCTACTTGCCGACCTCAGAAAGAAATCCCAAATGAGAGAGAAAAAAAAATGAAGACGTGGTAACAGGAATGACAACATCAGTTCAGCTAAAGACGTGACCAACACCAGCGTTGGCATGGTTATGTCCTGGATGACAGACGATCCACACAAATGCATTCATGAATGGTTGACATTTTCTTGTGTAAAAATACGTTTGGTTGTAACAGCCTATCATTACTTAGAAGCCTCACTCAGCATTTCATAAAAGCGTTGAGAGCGATCATCGTACAACTCAATATACTCAATAATTAAGAATGTCTTGATGAGTCTTATCAGATTAAAAGGACCTTTTTGAACATAACCTTAAAGTAGCTTTTTGGCATGCGTTTCATTAAGCTCACATTTCTGTTTCTAAAAGTAGAACTTTTTTTAATGGTCTGATGCAATGTTCTAATTTTAAATGTTGTGTTTTCATAAACTGTTAGGGGAAAATCATCACAATTAACAGAAATAAAGGATATCAAACATCCGTGTGTGTGATTAATCTACACAACGTGTTCAATTAGCGAGAAAGTTCCTGAAATATATTTGCTTTTCAATAATATTCAAATTTATTGAACGAGTCCGTATGGCCTAAAGTATCTAACAAGAACTTAACATGCCGTCACCCAATTTTCAAAATAAATATCTTTTAAAAGTGAAATTGACATGAAATTCTTTAACTGAGGTCCAGGCATGCAAGAAACAAAACCCTAGTTTCATGGTAAGAGAGTAAAAAGTATTTTTTTTTCCTTTTAAGAGATCAAGAACTGATCTGGTCTTAATTTAAATCTAACATTAACTCAAGTGTCACAAATGACTGGCAAACTGATCAGTTACATGTATGCTGCTATTTTCATTATTATTATTATTATTATTATTATTATTATTATTATTATTATTATTATTATTATTATTATTATTATTATTATTATTATTGCAATATGCTTAATAACGCAATAGGAAAAAAAACTCATTTATCCAAAAATGACCAGGAGAGGGCGACAAAACGCAACTAAACTGGAAGAAGAACATTGGCTGCTCTTGCAACGGAATCAAAAGAAGCACAAGAACTCAAGAACAAAATCTCCATTGCAAATGTTTTGGTTAGGGTGTGACTTTAAGGGGCGATTCATAAACACTCAAAAAAGATGGGGAGTGTTAGAGAACAATAAGAGTTTACAATTTCTTTCACTCTTCTTCATTTCTCTTTCTACTTATGTATTTGGTTGTTTCACTATCAACAGACTGTTGTTATTTTTTTAGGGGGAAACGAAACGCTGTCAGAATGTAATGCAATGTATATTTCGACAACAACAACAAGGTCATTTGTTTTGTTTTCCAATGAACAACTTTTAAGAGTAGTTTCATTTTCACAGTCATTTCAGATCAGTAAACCGTTTAATATCCCGGGTTTTTAATTTATTATTCTTTGGACGGTTCCATAAACTCTGCGAAACTGTGACACACGCGGTGTTTTATACTTTTATATTTTCTTTGAATCGACCGCTGAGGCTTCCGTTGAAATTGCTTTACAGAATGAATCTCTTGTGTTCTCGGAAATCCACTTTGATAAGTAGGCGGGGCAGAAACTGGACATACCTAAGGTAAGTCGCGAACTTGAGTGCTGTTGTTCTCCATCCACGCACTCCCTCCTTTTCCATTCCTCCTCCTGTCACTCTGCTCCTCCCGTTCCTCCTCCTCTCGGGGATCAGAAAGTCCTCTGCGCTCCGAGGCGCACAGACGCGCTGGGGAGTCTCCGTCCTATCAGATAAACTTCTGTAACTTAAACAACAGGATCCGCTTTGAAAGAGTACCCTCTGGACGCTCTTGGATTTTTTTTCTTTTAATTTTTTTGGGGTTTTTTTGCCTTCTTGGTGGGTTCACTCAATAAAGCTGCTTGTTTTGCCCAGAGCGCTGGCACAATGAGCGCGTTCTGTCCCAGATCGACAGATTAGAGGTGAGTTGGACTTTAACCTGCTGGAGAACTTTGTTGGATTTAGAACCTCCTCCTCCCTGTGGAAAGTATCTGCTTTTTGCCTGTATGTTTTGAGAAGATGTGCCCATGATTATTAAAACAACTGGAACCTTTTTAGTTAAAGATTCACAGAGATTTAAGAAACCTCCAAGCTCTTGCCTCATACCACAGTTTTTCCTAGTGGCATTACAGTAATTGCTTGGTGTTAACATTATCTTGCCAGTTTGGAACTTGTAATTGGGGCATTTCACCACAGTGAGCAAGTACAAAAGGACTGTCAACTGCTCTCACATACTTTCTTTCAGTTTCAAGCAGCTTGCCCACTGATGTGTCTTGACTGTGACTGCTCTATCTCCTGAACTTTGTTAATAAGTAATCCATGTGAATTTGGACACTCTCTGTGCTCTTTGACACTGACTGGCGTTCCTCTCTTTTGTTTATCTCAAGGGTGGAAATCTTGACTACGAGGGTGTTTTTTGGGGGGTGGTTTTTTTTTGCACTGAGATCTCAGCGTTTCACCACAGATAGAGAGAAGAAGAACAGCCATGGATTTGGGAAATGATGTGGATTTATCCAACAACAACATCACACCTTTGTGGAGGCGGCGCACAGACTTCAGTGAAGGTTCCCAAGACTTGAACAAACTCAAGCCACGACCCGTGAGCTACCACCTAAACGGGGTCACGACTGGAGACTTCTCTGCGGGGGACGATGGACGTTCCTTCACGTTGAGCCAGCCGCCCCAGCCTTTAAATGAAAACACTATGGTGTTAAAGCATGTTTTGCACAAACCCTCCGAAAAAAAGCGAATCGTTCGGAGCATTAGCATTGGGCGCCTCTACAATGGACGCTTCTCATTGTCCAAGTTTAGGGCTGAGGATAAGAGAGCTACGCTGGACAACAGGGTGTGTAATGGAGGTAGTAACAGAAGAAATAACCAGAATGGAAGCGTTTGCTCTGAAAATCATCACCAGGACACGCAGAGATCGACCACAAACCCTCTTGATCTTGACTTGGAGAAAGACCAGATCTCCTCTGGAACAAACACACCCCCACCTGAAACTCCCACCGACAATTGTTCTTCACACATCCATTCTCCACACACGCCAAATCACTACCACTACGAGCTGTCTTCACAGTCATCGATATCCAGCTCTTCATCTCCAGGGTACGGTACCCTCTCCCCCTCTCACAGCTCCTCTTCAAGCATCCCCTCACTTTCGTCTTTGACCTCCTCGGACCCTCCGACGCCCCGCTCCCCGTCGCCAGCTGACAGAGGGAATCCATTGCAGTCTCAGACAACCTCCCCAGCATCCTCATACGACACCCTGTACGCCTCCTCCTCTTCCTCCAGCTTCTCCACATCGCCGTCGCTCTCCCCAACTGCATCCCCCTCTCCTGCCGTCGTCCTTAGCACCAACAGCCCCGCTGCTTTGAAGATGGGCACCCAGCAGCTTATTCCCAAAGGACTGGCATCCGATATCCGACAAACCAAGGCGCCTCCTACTGGGACCCAACGGCTGGGATTGGACCATTCCAAACGAGCGATGAAAGTTCTCAGCATGGTGGAAGCAGGAGGTTACTTTTCTACGGGAGGGGGCCACACCAAAGAGGCAGAGGGAGAGACCGAAAGCCCCGGGGCGTTACGGAGAGCTTTGAGGAGTACGTCTTACAGGAGGGCAGTTGTGACTGAAGTAGACAAGGACGTTACTTTGGTTGAGTTAAAGATGCCTGTCATGGAAGGGCTTGAAAATCCTGGTTCGTCCACTGGCTCAACAAACCTTTCCACCTTAAGTCCAACAAGTGCTGAAGCACCAAAAGCTGCCAGCCCCAGGATCACAAAGTCTTCTAGCCCTCGGATGGATAAAACTATAAGCAAAAAGAAAAGCAAGGTGGGCCAATCTATTCATGAACTTATAATGAATATATTTCGGTGCCGTAAAGAGGAAAAATGCAATATGTGTGTTAACTCTTAAGAGAGGGGCACGCAAACAACACTTTGCTAACAGAGAATGGATGTTTTAGTAGCAGTAGGTAGAGGGTCTCTTTCAGTAGAAATGAGGGTTTTGTCAAAGTGAATTAAGTCATGAACAGTTTCAAACACAAATCTGTTTTGACACAAAACAAAAACGGATGGTGATCTGAATTAGGTCGTGGAATGTGATGGATTTGGAAAACTTTTGCACTTTAGCAGAAAGGAAAAATATTACCAAGTTCCATATTGGTAGATGTGCTATAGAAGACTGGAAAGTGTTTTTTTTTAATTATTATTAAAAGATGCTTTAGCAAGTTTTGTTCTCAGGATATGCACATTTATGCAACAAGGTTACGATTATTACTTGTTTTTTCCCCCCCTGTGATATATTTGTCTTATTCAATTGGACTCTATATCTGACACAATAAAAGAGGAAAACTGTGTAAAAAGACACATAATCAGCAAAAACCTGGGATTTTAACAGGTGGATGAACATTTAGGAGCCACTCTAGTTCAGAAGTGTCGCAAAACTCCTTTTACTTCTCTCTGTAGTCAACAAGTAGTAGCCCCTGTAAACTTTGGTAATCTCTTGAATCCTTTTTGTGTCTTTGTTGTAGCTGGTTGAGATTTATTGACTGGGTTAATCGCGGCCTCTCTAACGGCTTAACGTACTGTTGTACACAAAGATTGCTTTGACACAAACTTACATGATCAGGAGGGGATAAAGTCTGAATCACAAAACCACAACACAGACTGACCATTGTGGTTCAAGCTTGGTTTAGGACAAAGCCTTGTAGGAAAACAATTAACTTGTTTGTTGGCGGTTATGATGTAATAAGACAGTGTAGATACATGTTTCCTTGGTACGCCACAGTTTAAGTTGATTGTGTTTTTTTTTTTTTTCCCTCTTTCAGATTCCAAATAGGAAGAAGCTGACGTCTCAACGGACATTTGACAGTGAAGGTAACACCTGTCTTTTTGGGTCATTTTTTATTTTTGTTTTTATGCATTCAGCTGTTTTAATGTCACCTTACTTTGGAATTAAAAATATATATATATTTTTTTGTCACAACAAACACATTTCAGAAGAGGAGCTCTACCAGAACTACAAGGAGAAGGCCCTGCATAACGACTCCGATGAGGATGCTGATTCAAGGGGGCCAAAGCCCGATCAGGGCATCGTTGTGCAGTACAGACCCATACGTACCTCCTGGAGCCAACTGAGCGTGGTTAGATATAACACACACACACACACACACACACACACACACACAAACAAAACCCGCAGTTAGTTGTGTGTAACTTATACCCTTTCTCTACACCCTGAGTACTCGCGATCCGGCTGCTGCGGTTGCAAAGTGCTGGAATCCTAGTGCTCCAAAGAATGCTGTCACAACCAGTTGAGCCATATTTCACACCCATCCTCCTCCCACTTGCCTCTGTTTTTCTCTGGGACTCTGTTTATCAGTGAAGCGCGCTCTCTCTCGGACACACTCGGCCTCAGAGGCAGACAGTCCGTCAGAGTCAGAGGACGTCTTGGAAGTACTGCTGCTGCTGGGCGTCTTGCCAGTGAGTGAGCTGGCAAACCCTCGATACTCACACTGTAAATATGCTCAAAATGTTCCCCATAGGGATATGAGGGATGATCCTCCGTTGCATAATAATAGTTACGGATTGGAATCTTCAGAGAGGGATATCGGAAGCGAGTCATCTAATTTATTGGTTGTTTTTTCTTTTTTTTCCCTTTCTTATTAAATCATTCCAAACCCATTTCATCATCTGTTTTTTTCGTTTGTTGCGCAAGTTTGGGATGAAAGCTGTGCGTTGGAGTTAATTAGTATCAGTTTCAGACTCTAATAAATGAGGAATTACTAGCAAGTTAGAAAACAAAATGGTTGCTGGTATTTAAAGAGCCACCGCTCTTCAGTTTTCCCATATATTAAAGCTGCATTTTCAAGAATACATTTTTCCAAGAGTTTGTTGATCCTGGGGTTAATAAGTATTCACACCCAAGGAATAATACAGTATTATAGCACCTCCAGCAGTAAACTGAGCCTCATGTCTTTTGTACTTTTTAAGCTCAGTACCAATGTTTTGAAGCATTCTGTCGACCAGTCATCTACAGCTTAGTCTGGTTGAATGGGCAGTGTACAGGTAGTGCTTTTAGACCCTTTCAGAGATGTTCAATTGTCTTTAGTTTTTAAGTTACCGTCCTTTGGCTAGGACACTTAAATGAACACTGAAGCCACACCTTTTTTTTAATCTTGGCTGTCCTTCAAGCTGTTCTTCTCTCCAGAGCTCTCTGGAACAGGTTTTTTTCACTTGATTGAAATTATTAAGACCATTTACTGCCACAAAAAAAAAAAAAAAAAAAAAAAAAAAAAACCCTTCCCCCCAAAAACAAACTCCCCCCACCCTTCTCTACAAAGG